CAGGGGAAGCAGCCTCTCACCCCTGGAGCCACCGTCCCACCCAGTTCTGGGGTTCCTGGTGGGATGAAGCCTGGAGCCCCTAGCTTTGTCAGCTGTCATCAGCATGGACACGTAGGAGCTCCAGGTCCAGGGGCAGCTCCGATGCCACCCTTGACTGTGGGCCCAACAACCGTGGGCAGCCTAAACTACTCAGCCCTTGGGTCTGCCCAACATAGAAACTCCACTGTGGGTCCTCGTGGCAGCGCCCAGACACTTTCAGTGACCTCAAAGGCAGATGGGAGGAGAGACTTGTCCTTGGGTCAGACATCACACAAGCAAATACCAAGCTCAGAAAGTAGAGAAACCCCCAAAACTAGAGAGCACCGTGGGGCAAGTTTAGGAAATGACACCTCCAGTGGCCCTAGCCAGAGCACCATCATGGCACCCATAAAACACACAAAAGAGGGTAAAAAAAGGGCAAGGAAAGAGTGGAGTTCCTACCCTGAGTGCCATTCCTCAAAGCCTGCCCATCCAGAAACACCAAAGCTCACCTCAAAGGACAAGTACTACAAAGGGTATCTCTAGTTGCCCTTCAGTCCCTGGGACATCAAGGGGATCAGAGAGCCCAGACTTGCTTCCTGACCTCATGTCAGCCTTTGGGGCCTGGTGTAGCTCCTCCCAAAGAGGAGAAACCCCAAGCACCAGGCAGCAACAAGGAGCAATGTTGGAAGAGAACACCTCCAGTGCCCCTAGCCAGAGCACCACCATGGCACCCAGAACACACACAAAAAAGGGTAAAAAAGGGCAAGGAAAGGGTGGAGTTCCTACCCCGAGTGCCATTCCTCAAAGCCTGCCCACCCAGAAACATCAAAGCTCACCTCAGGGGACAAGCACTACCACTGAAAAGGGTATCTATAGTTTGCCTTCAGTCCCTGGGACATCAAGGGGATCAGAGAGCCCAGACTTGCTTTCTGACCTCATGGCAGCCTTTGGGGCCTGGTGTATCTCCTCCCAAAGAGGAGAATCCCCAAGCAACAGGCAGCAACATGGGGCAAGTTTTGAACAGAACCTCTCCAGTGCCCCTCTCCAGAGCACCACCATGGCACCAAGAAAGCACACAAAAGAGGGTAAAAAAGAGCAAGGAAAGAGTGGAGTTCCTACCC